AACACCATCGTCTGCTCTACTGTAGTCAGGCTACGACGTTAGCCTACGTTAGCCTTCTTAGCTAACTTTAGCCCCAGGACTGAGGTGATATTTTCTCACAACTAAGTTTTTGTCTTTAAATAAAAACAAGCCTAACAATGTGGTTTTGTCTTCCACCAAACTTTCTTGCGCTCTGACGTCACTGCCAAACTAAATCTAGGCGCATTACTGCCACCTACTGGTCTGGAGGGCGCGCAGACACACATTCAGTCGTCTGAAATGAATTCATGGAACTGAGCGCCAGGTTGTTTTTCTGTGACAAATCCAACTGCTTCAGTCCAAAGACAGCGGTACAATGGAGGTTGCACTGGTCTTTTTCCCGAGCCCATCCCACTTGACCCTACGTGACCTCCCTGCTCTCAGACAGTTTTCCCACCGAACCCCGTTGGAATTCTAACGTGGATGTTTGTGGGTTGAAGTGAACAGTTAGAAGCTCAAACACCGGGGAGGTTTTCACGCTAAAATATTTAAAATGAATTTGAGAATTATTTAAAAATCATCAGAAAATATTCACTGGACCCAAAGCGGGGTTGTTTAGGTGTCACGGTGTTAGGACTTTTGATGGTCCTGGAGTCTCCCCCTGGTGGAGTGTGATTCTCTCCAAGGTCAGCTGAGATTAGCTCCAAATAGTGATTACGATTCAATTCCAAGAAACAGGGCCTTCATTGTAACTGCTATTGTTCAGAGGTTCAGAGACTAAACGGGAAGAGTCCAATTTTTCTAGTCAGCTTCATTAAGAATAATAAGCTCATCAGAGCAGTTTAAGACTGGCACCTGTATTTCTACTGTAATTCCCCAGACTTGATGAGCAGTCACAGCCACTATACAACACAGATTTGCAATTCAGTCTCCATCACATACCATCGTCCGCAGCAGCGTGGAGGTAAGTGTCTGAACAGAGACAGATCTGCATGTAGATGAGAGGAGCCTGAGGTCGAATCCCTGACCTTCCAGTTGGCAGATAAAAGAACAGGATCAACTGCAGCTTTAATGCATAATTATCAAAGCACAGATATGATGGCAGCTTTAATGCATAATTATCAAAGCACATTTACAGCACAGATATGATGGTTTTAATTTAAAGAACGCAGCCACGGTGCACGTACGTGGTTTTTGTTGAAAGGTCAGACTTTTGTGGCTTAAAGTAAAAGACACAGCGTGGCGTGTCGGAGAACAATGCTCTGCAAAGAGCGCAGCAAACCTCAGGATCGAAGACATGTGTGGCACACATTGGGAATTTTTTGAGTTTCTGTCAAGCAGAGGCTCATTAATGTCAGCTAGAACAGAACTTAGGAGTTTGCCTATCAATAAGTCTAACGGCACGGTCTGATTCCTGCTCCTCATTAGTGTCAGAAGAAAAGAAAATACCAGAAGTGTGTGAATGCCTGACTTCAGAAAAAAAAAACTACAAGAAGTTGAAAAACAAATATTAGATTGTCATGAAATTCACAAAGTATTATTATCAATTATAAGAGTATATTCTAATCTCCTGCTCCTTTGCAGCTGTGGCCAGAATATGAAACACTGTGACCTTTTCTGACCTGTCAGACTGCACATCAATTAAAAGGGTTGCGTGTTTAACAGGCGTGCAGCAGAACTCTGATGTTCGGCATCACTTCATTTTTCTCCGAATCGGATAAGAATGAAGATAAATGCAGGATCTTATCTTTAAATATTTAATCTTCTTCACTGGGGGAGCTGAGCGCTGATTTCACCGTGAGTGTCGTTCGCTCAAAAACAAACAAGAGAAAAGCACGTTTTAATATTCATCCCAGAACTTCTGCACTGGCAAGGAACCATAGTGCCCTCGAGCAAACAAATGTTCCATCGTCTGACTTGCACAAACCTTTGGATCTCAGTGAATGTCAGCCATATTATCCTCCTCCTCCAATACATCCAGGAGGTCTGGTCCACATGCTTGAGTCAAATCTCAAGACACCATGGTGTCCGTGGCGTAGACCGCAGCTAAAAAGCCACGGCACAGAAGAGAAACACCGGGGCCAATCAATGGTCCGTCTGGGCAAATATCAGATCTGACCATGGGGCAGCAACTCAAAGTGTGTGACAGGCAGAAATCACTCTGCCATGCCAGGCGGAGCACGCTAAATGCTGATGAGCTTGTTTGAAAAGGTCTCACCACTCGGGACATCAGAAGTGTCAGCTATCATCAGCATACATTATTCACAGAACCACGGCCGTTTAGAACGAGTGCGAGCGCCAAACGGTGTCTGTCGACGGAGGCCACGGCCGGCAGAAAGAAAAAGAAGAAAAAGAATCACTGAGATCTCTGCAGTTTAATGCCCTCTGCTTTGATGGATTCACCACTGGATGGAAATATTTACCAGAAAAGAAAAAAGGAAAAAAATGAAGATATTATTTCTCTACCAATATTTGTTTAACTTAAATATTATGTAGATTTTGAAGGAACATTTTCACCATTTTACTCCCGATATGTTTTCCTTTACATTTGTCCTTTAAGTGTTTTCACTGCTGCTGCTTCTAGGCTTCATGATGAAGGAATTCTAGAGATTCAAACTTGACAAGACTCAGGTTTATGACTGATTTATACAACATCAAAATAAAGAGCCCGTGGATTGATGTTGACAGTCGGACAACAATAAATGATTTGTTATTCTGTCAAGTGTCAGTAAACAGAGAGTGATTAAACGTAGATATCACAGTACAGTATATGTTTCCACCTGTTTAAATCATTGAATAAAAGGAAAGTCAATCACTGTGAGAATCGATTTTTCTCGGGGCAGTTTTTCTGTCTGGTCGTCTTTCCTCTAAATTGTCATGGAAATGAATTCCAAAATGTTGTTAGGATTCAATTCTCAGCCTTCATGCAGCTATTCCAAGAAACAGGAAGAGGTGCATTGTGGGTGAATAATGCAACAGAACCAGCCGGCAGGAGGTAGGTAACAAGGTACTGGAAAAACACTGAAGTGAATTCTGATGTGAACTACAGTCCACGCTGTTGTTGCACAGATGGGTTTGATTCTGGAAGATTCTCCAGGACAGAACGGCCACAAAACCAAAGAGCAATGAGGTCCAAATGATGATTTTGTCAATTCAATTTTGAGTTATACATTTGTAATTTATTTAAAACATTTTTCTGTTATAAAGATGTGATTTGATATTTGTCATTTGTTCCAGCGATAAACAGAAATAACACATGTTAAAATGTTGGTTTATCTTAATTAATCTGCAGCTATCCTTTAATTAATCAAAGTAAATATTTTGAATCAGTCGACAGTTCAACTAACTCTACATTGATATTTGTTTATATTATACAGTACTTTCATGTTTTACTGGTTTACTGTAATTCCTTGTAGTATTTTTGCTAATTTTAGGTTTTAATTATTAACTTGATTAACGTCTTCCTGATGTCTGTGGGTAAATATTATTGAATAAAAAAATCTAAAGATGGAAACACACTACAGTGTTCGACCAGTTCAGGTACCTGCTGATATTTGTCTCTGTGTTCCAGCAAAGTACAGGAAAAAAAGAAGAAGAAAAGGTTTTTGTCATTTATATGTTGATTTATCTCATTTAAACATGAATAATTATGATTGATCCCCAGCTACCCTTTAAATAATCAGATTTAGAATTTTACCAATTTGTCAGCACTAGTTATCATCCAGGTTATTAGTTAGTTATCATCCTGAAGTACCGTCCTTCACCAGCAGACGGTCGTACGGTGAGAACGTACAAGACTTCAATAACGGCACGGCAACTAAAGAGGCGTTCAGGACGGATTTCCAGTCAGGGTGAATGAAGACTGAAGCTCTGATGAGTGTGAGAGCTGACCTTACAGACAGGCTAAGTTCCACTGGAGCACAGCCAGGATTTAACAGCGTCCAAACAGATGGTGGAGGAAGCCAGAAAAGGACACACAAACGTATTCTTCCAGCAGAGGCAGAGTGAGTGAGACAGCCTGTGGTGCTGCCACCTGTTTCACTGCACTGCATAATTAAACCATATCTGCCTAAAGTCTGCCCGTCGCAATGACTCACTTTCCCAGCAACCCCAGAGCCTTAGGAAGCATCCATCACCACGATCCAAAGGAAGCCAAAGAGGTTTTTCTTGTTTTCCCTCTTTTGTCCTAAAGTTCAGTCCACATCGTGTTTCCATCCATCACTCTCTTCCTGATGTATGAGCTACGATGTGTTTACTTAACCCGTGAGGCGACGCCACACAGAGAAAAGAAAAGGAAAAGGTTTTCACAAATGACATTTCCTCTTCCAGAAGACTGAAGACGCACGGAGTGACTCAGACATGCACGTGACAATCCTACAGTTATATATTGATAATGTACCTGCAGACAGGTTCAGTCTGTCACACATCACAACCCCATCACTAAAATAATAAGTTGCAGACGGCGACTCGCATCAGTTATTTATTTCCCCAGCTGATTTTTCCAGAAGGAAATCAAATCAGAGAAATAAAATGTGAAAACATGAGGAGGATGATCCCGGCTGTCATCAAACAGAAACCCCCACAGTGTGTTAACGTGTGCAGCCAAGACTCTTCGCAGGTGGTACTGCAGTGTTTCACAACCTTTTTTGAACCAGGACAAAATATCTTACGTTAGAAAAACCCCATGAAGCGAACATCACCAAACAAAGATGTCACAAGAAGTATATGTAATAAAACACTTGTATCAATGTGAAACCTAGGCCTGTTTAGTTGAACATGATGCTGATGCATTCGCAGGAATTGAAGAAAGACACACAACAAGAAGAGTAGGCCTGTGACGATAACACATTTTTGCTGGATGATATATCCACACACACCGTTCCTCGTGCAACCCAATCAGGGATTTGGGGACTAGATGGTACAGATCTCAGAACCTTCTGGTGTCAGGAAGGAACACCGCTATAGCCTGAAGTCTATCATGACTGTGATATCAAAATAAAAGTGATACAATATGCTGCTGTGAGTCCGCGGACGCATCATACCTTGATGTAGTGCTGGAGCCTCGGGTATACTCTCTTCACTCTCAGGAGAAGCGAGAAAAACGTTGTGTGTGGTAGAGAGGTAGCAGCAGTGACCACGTGTGTGACTTCAGGAAAGGAGAAAACACCGAAGCCAGATGTTTCATAGCGTTTCAGGAGCTCCTGGTCGGCCGGCGTCTCCCCCTCACTCAGAACGCTGCCGACGGCACAGCGACAGAGCGGTCCGGTCACCTGAGAACAAGGAGACAGAAATTATGATCATGAAATATATTCTGTACTGTTCTCTCTAAGTCTCAAAACTTCGAGGGATTTTAAATGTTAATTTGACTTTCGCTTTGACAGGTTATTTGAAAACAAGAAATATGGGGTAAACACATTAAAACTCCAACTGCCTCCTCCATCCAACGAGAGAAAAGCGATAATGAGGTTTACACCATTAACACAGACTGCAGAGGGCGACACACATTAAAATGATACCTCGTGTGATGTCAGCCAGGTATGAAGGTCGAGGAGGAAATGCTGTCATTAAGACGAGCTATAATTGGAGCATTTGGCAGGGCAACAATTATTATATTTTTGTAGCCTTCACCACAGCGCCCATTAAAAACAAGAAACATACCAGACTGTTTTTTCCCTTTTGTGCTGAGCTAAGCACCACTCAAGGCTCCTGTAATAAACAAGCCAGAATTCTCAGCTTTGTTCATAAATCTACCATCGCGGCTCTTCAAGAAGAAGCAGTGTGACAGATAAGACCCGTTTCCTCCACTCCTCTTAATCATCTGACCAAGCTCTGCAGAGTAAAAAAAAAAGGTTTTTTTTTCTTCTAATCATCAGACAGACTGAGCAAGCTGCTTACATCTGCATATATTTAGCCGTCTGGATCTAAAATTTATTTGATTTCAGAAGATAAAAAAGATCATTATTCTAACAAATGCAGCGATCTTCCCCGTGTTTATATATCAGGGTTCATCCCAGAGCATTTCCCTTGATCTTAAAGAGTAATTCTTACATACTGTAGGAGAAAATTCATCTCACAAACATGTACCTAAATATACCTATTAATATATATCAAGTAAATATATATATATGTCTCTATCTATAAGACACATTAATAGTCAATACAACAAGTTTAAAGTGACTAATAGTGATGTAACGATGCATCGTGAATCGATTAGAAATGGATACAAATCTGTGACAGTTTGGAACGGTCGAAATAAAAAACGAATCAAGTCAAATCAATGTTACGTGTCAAGTTCACCGAACAGAAATTTCAAGAAATCCTAAAACCTTATTCTAAAAGAGACAGAACGTGGAGGTTCTCCGACCTCACGTTGTGTTAAAATACTATGGATGCAGAAACTCAATAATGTCTCACAAACAAACTCCCCTCATTTAATGTCTGAAATAAATTGCCAGTCAGAATCAATAACTGGGTCGGAAAAAAAAAAGCAAGGCTGCCAGTGAAGTTAAATAAATAAGACTTAAAAACATGTTAGTAAGATTTAAATCAAATAGAGCTGGTGGTTTTGTACATCTTGTTATTTACTGGACCTCGTTCTCAACACCGTGAGCACATGTGGGAATTGTCTGGGTATTATTGACATTTCCAGAGCTTTGGAGCTTCAAACACTGAAACTCCGACCCCAGTGTATTTATTATCAGAGGACTGCAAGTGGTCCACAGAAAAGAGGAGGATTTGACACGGCGTTCGTCTCCCTGCACCTATCAGGACATACGTGCACTTTCTTTTGATGTTTCTTCAATACAATAACAGCTCATCTGGAGCAGGTTCTGAAATTCAATTAAAGGAAATGTTTCTGCGGGTCTCTGCAGCGCACCGTGTGAACTCGCTTTGTTAAGGAATCGGGGAGAGAAGCGAGGCATCTGTACGCGAGCACACGCAGTATCTTTAATCCATAAGAGACATCACCAGATAAAACTTCCATCTATAACTTTGGGAAAGGAAATTTCTACTCGGATTTTCTGCTATTTCATCATTTAGCACTTGTACAAGGACCAACCCTTAGACTGAGGTTCACTTTTTTTCCCCCTCTTTTTCCAGCAGCTGCAGTGCAACTTGACTTCATAAAATTCAAATCCAACAGAAAAGAAAATCACCACCGTCCAATTATCACTCAGTTTCAATTTCACCATCCTTGTTGTAATGACCACATGACCTGGCTCTTTTAATATAAGTTAAAATATAAATAAAAAATAAATCTGCACCCATACTCAGTCCATCTGACGTTAAGGCGCCTTTTATGGGCACAGTGGATCATTAAAAACCCGCAGGTTTGGAAACTAGTGAGGCTGGAGGAGGCACGTTGAGTGGGGCTCCGAAAATTTGTGTTGGTCCTTTGAAGGATACAGACAGCGCTGCTCCAGCAAGGTATCCATGGCAACCACCTTAGAACCAAATCTGGTCCTGTTGAGGTCTTTTGTTTCTCAGGAGGAAGTGATTAAAGGAGGTAAAAGTGAAAACTCAAGAACAGAGGAACAGTCTGTAGCCATGCTGACGCAGATCCTCTGTCAGCTGAAACTTTTGTAGAAAGAGAAAACTGAACTCTCACAGCACATATCAGCGGACAGTCTCTCATTTTCAGCCACCAAATACCAGTCGTACCATTGAGAGCACTCTGGGGCTCCTGGTGCCGGGGCTGAATGGCTTCCTGAGGCTCCAACACTAATGAGCCGAGATCATTACGCCAATTATTTTACCTTAGATCAGGACTTGGCTGTGACTGTGCAGAGGAACTGGGACCCTCTGCTGGACTAATTGCCAGCTTGGAAAACAGATGACGAACACAACAATAGGATTCTGAAGCAGAGCTGGGAAGGAACACTTTCTGACCTCTAGTTGCGGTGCATTAAGCTGCAGCAGGTGTAAACCACTGCTGCTCTGCCATGATGTACAGCTTACAGTCAGTGTGAAAACAGAATGAGTTCTAAATGAATCAAAGCCCGGACGCTTCTGCCACAAACTAAATCTTTTTCACATTTAACAAATTTAATCAAGTTTAAAATTGAACACTCTCTGGTCTCTCTTTCTTTCTTATATAACTATGATTCACACACAGACATTAAATTATCATGAATCCCATTCCTACTTTTTTAACACTTTTGGCAAAATGTGCTAAAAAACAACTCATAATAAAAAGAAACGTGATGTCAGGAATGGCACAGCAGGTCTTTGGAGACCCTGTAGAGTCAGCAGATTCAGGTTTCAAGAAAATAGTTCTATCATGTATCTGCTTATTAAGAAACAGGCGACTTCGTGCAGGCAACAGACAGAAGAGTGAGAAAACACCACATGGTGAAATCTAATCCACCTTCTGTTTTACCAGTCCTGGTATAACAACTTTAATCAAACTGATAAAAAATGTGCGAGGAGTGTTTCCCCACCTGACTAGAGCTCTTATTGAAACGCCAAAAGACTTAAATTTATTTCAATCAAATAAAATTTCAGGCTGCACATTGTTTACACGACTAGATGTATTTCTTTAAATACTGATTCATGGAACATTTCCATTCTCCCATCGGCATTGTTGTTACAACTGTTTGCTCTCTTCAAAAAAAAAAAAAAACGTTGTTGGTTTATCTGATTTATGCTGTATTACACTGTTGTGAAGGCTAATAAAAACATGAGGCTTTATTTAAAAACTAATTAATTTTAAAACTGGAATATGAAAGAGTTGAACAAACTAAAAACAACAGTTAGAGTCTGGTTGAGGTTTTACTGCCTGCAGAGTGACGACAGAGTACATCTGAACATAATACCATTATTGTAACGTGAGACTTACTCTGTGTTTTCTTCTATTGCACTGTATTTAAACTGCATAAGCAGCATATGGCATAGTAGTTAAAGACCCTGGGTTACTGGTGCAAATTCCGGCCCTGACAGTACTCTTGAACAAGCACTGACACTTTAAATATCAAAACAAACTGGGGGGATACATGATTAAGATCAACATTTCCTTCCGCTCGACTGGAAGCGCCTGTCTTGGTTGAGCTGAATGACATTACCGCCATCTAGTGGTCACCATTATACAAAAGTTATGAAAAGTTACCTGATACTAAATCAAAATAGTTAATAATGTGGGGGCAATGCAGTATTTTGAGGAGGGGAGTATATAACGTGATGTGTGTCGAGTTTTACCTTTTGGGGATCATCGTAAAAGACGTAAATACACGGCAGCTTTGGTCCAATACTGAGAGACTCCCGTGATATTTTCTCACAGTCTCTGTATGGTCCCTCGTTGTACTTGTAGGCGAAGAGGATCTTCTTTATGGGAGGAGAACCGGCGACCACGGTAATGGCTGAGAGGAGTCCAGAGTAGAGGCAAATATAAGCAGCAACTAGCAACAGACTGGTGATGGTGGCCACACACAGGCAGAGCCACTCTGACATTATCATACAAATCAACAGATAAATTAACACGGGGAGAGCCGGCAGACTTTCTCAACTTCATTGAGAAAGTCAACGCTTTTGGCCTACTTTTAAAACGGGTTGTGATTTACTTTACGAGACGTTCATTTCGACTTTTTACATTAGCGAATGAACAACAAAGATTAGACGTGTGGCGTTACTTCCTGGAATGTACCATTAAACCCACTAAAGAGAGGGGTAGACCGCTCTGGAAAAGTTCAGATTTTTCTTGTTTTCTTTTTTTAATGTAATGTTTTACTGCTGTTTTGTAGTGAAAGTGACTCATTGGTTAAAATTAAAACATATATAATTAACATAAAGGCACGAAGCGGTACTTTCTGGAATGTACCATTAATACCAAGAAGAAAGTGGGTGGTAGCGAGAAGTCGTTCAAACAACACATTTTAAATACCTCTTGTAAATGTTTTACACTTATTATTATTATTATTATTATTATTGTTGTTGTTTGTATAAAAATCTTATTTATGAACCATTATGGACAGAAAAGTCAGTCGAATATTTAAAAGGTCCGAGTGAAATATGATTTTACAATGTGTTCATGATGCAATTTGTTCAAAAACATTGTTATTTGTTAAGCAATAAGAGAAAGAAAAAACACATGAGATGAACTTTGAACCATGTCCATTCGAAGCAACCAATGAAAACACTCGGTGAATCGTCCTCGGCCTTGAGAGCTATGTTATTCCGTTCAAGACCCGCCCCGTGAAGGAGGTGAAGGCTAGGCTAGTTCTAACTTCCTAGATTAAACACAAGGACTGGCTTTCCTGGTAGACTGTGTTTCCCTGGTTGTCAGAAGGTCATCGTGAATTGAAGATAATGGCAGGTAATGTGAGGAGATTTTACAAGATGACAGCGAAGCTGTTGTCCGGAGATGTCTTCAGCTTCGAGCGGCTGAGGGGGAAAGTTGTTCTCATTGAAAATGTGGCGACTCTCTGAGGAACAACCACCAGGGATTACACTCAGATGAACGAGCTCCACAGTCGTTACTCCGACAAGGGACTTGTTGTTCTGGGTGTTCCCTGCAATCAGTTTGGACATCAGGTATGACCTTAAACATGTGAGAAGGTGGTGCACATGGGTGCAGTAAGGCTTGTTACGTAACGTATGGATTGAATGAATCTGTCTTTTGTTTTACAAAACAGGAGAATTCCAAAAACAGTGAAATCCCTAAACTCCTGAAGTACGTCCGTCCTGGAAATGGCTTTGAACCTAAGTTTAATCTCCTTAAGAAGATGGAGGTCAATGGAAAAGATGCAGACCCTCTGTTTGTCTATCTTAAAGAAAAGCTCCCATTTCCCATTGATGAATCGATGGCTCTCATGAATGACCCAAAGTCCATCATTTGGAGTCCTGTCTGCAGGAATGACATCGCCTGGAACTTTGAGAAGTTCTTGGTCGGCCCTGACGGAGAGCCCTACAAACGCTACAGCAGGATTTTTCTGACCATTGATATTGAGGCAGACATTAAAGAGTTACTCAAAAAGGTCAAGTAAGTTGTGCATTAAAATGGGTTGCATGACAGTGATAGGTTATCAGTTATGAACAAACGGCTGCTCAGATTATCAGTAGACACACTTGGGCAGCATTTGTTAACTGCACATTCAACAGAAAAAAATATGTTTTATTAGATGAATGTTGTTATTCCAGCATCATACACTAGTTGTAAAAGCTGTTTACTGTATGACGGAATTTCTTAAAACATTTTTTGTGAGAGAAGTTTTTGATGAAGATGTAAATGGCTTTTTCACTGTGTATAACATCTTTGTTGGTAAATAACAGATTAATAAACATTTTCCATCACTGAATGAACTGCTGTCATTTGTGCTCAGTGTATAAAACTATTATTATATAAATATAATAAAAAAAACAATGTATAGAATAGGCAATTCAAATATTGTACAAAAATTCACACAGAATTTAGACCAGTACTACATGTTAAAAAGTGGATTTCAATTGTTTTGTTATTGCTGTTGTAATGATTTTGTTCTTTGATAACAATGCCAGCCTCTAAATGGTTTAAAGCTATTTTAAAATTTTAAATGAAATGAAAGAACATAGTATATGTGTATAAAAGTATTTGATTAGATGACCAATGCTTATCATTAAACCCTGACTTGACTGAAAGGAAAACCTGGAGAAATATCTGCCCACTGTAAATAATTGAGGAAGTTTGATATATTTTAACATGTACACTGAATGAAAAGTGTATTACAAAAGTAAAATAATAGGGGTTGGGGGGTATATACATTTTATAACTTTATTCAATAGTGTCCAAGTGTATCACCAAGAGTATCAA